TCTTGCTGCTGTTTTCCTGGAAAAGAAAAATGAATTAAAGCAAATATTTTTAGAACCCTATTGGAAAGAAAATAAAGTTTTGTCGGTACTAGCATCAAAATATCCACACAATTCTAAATCTAAGTTCCTTTTGCCTTATATCCTTATTTGATTTCTCATTCCTACTTTTCTTAGGTGGTCAACAAAACCTGGCTGAATGAAGTCTGTCTCATTATTAGCACATATATTAGCATATACAGAGCACATCTTCATTTTGCCATAATAGCCATTAAATAGCACCAAAGGAGCAGATCTTTCTAATACATAGTGCTTTCATTATTGCCCAGTGAAATTATGGCAACCTTGTGTGCATGCCAGCCTTTTTAAGCACATTGTTTTGGGTAGTAGGGTGATTGTTGCAAGCCCTGCGTTGTGATAGAATTCTATATTTTGGGCAGTGGCGCATTAAGTACTTCAGTGTGGTAAAGGCACATTAGACTCAGGAAATGGGAGCTTTCTTTTCAGTACAAGTTCTATGAGAGAAAAGGATTTCTGTTTTCACCGCTATGACCTCTGCTAAGGTTTAATATGATTTATAAAACAGCGTTATAGAAACCTACTGATTTTCTGTTGTCATTCTTGAAAAATGCACTAGTGGAATAGGTTTTTCTGCAAACAGTAAAAACAATGTCAACCTATGATGTAAGAATTAAATCTCATGTGAAGTATTAGAGACTGAAAAAAGAATTACAGGACAACCTTTCCCCAAAGCGGAAGGTTTCTCTCCAAAGATATGGTTTTTGAATACAGCTGATTAAAAGTTATTGAAATTAAGAGGGCCTGACAGACAACACATTCATACTAATGATATTCTCTTAGAAAACATGAGTTAAAATAACATTAATCATTAAATGGCTATAATTTTGTGCTTCTTAGAGGAACTGAAGAACGTTGAAGATAGGAGCTCTTCTTGACACTGCCCTTCCTATCTCTCTGTGGTGTTCGTTATAAGCAGGATAGTGTTGAAAGGGAGAATTACTTTCTGTAGCAACTGTGGAAGGTTTCTCTCCAAAGATCTGTTTTCAAAAACAGTTCAAAACAAAGAACTAAATAACTCTATCTGCTTGTGTCAAATTTGAATACAGCTGATTAAAAGTTATTGAAAATAAGAGGGCCTGACAGACAACACATTCATACTAATGATATTCCCTTAGAAAACATGAGTTAAAATAACATTAATCATTAAATGGCTATAATTTTGTGCTTCTTAGAGGAACTGAAGAACGTTGAAGATAGGAGCTCTTCTTGACACTGCTCTTCCTAGCTCTCTCTGGTGTTCGTTATAAGCAGGAGAATTATATAATTATATTATTATAAGCAGAAGGGAGAATTACTTTCTGTAGCAACTGCTTTCAAAGAAGCAATGCCTAAAAATGTTAGTTTAAAAGAAAATACAGCATGTGATTTAATCATCTTATCGGTGAGTTGTCATAGTGTTAAAAGGCCCCAGAAATAGAGATCCTGCCCCTTTTTTTTGATTCTGTGCCTTTCTGTTTATCCACGTTTTATCCCACTCTTTTCTTAGTGTTAAATTTACCAATGTGCCTCAATACACACTAGCATGCAGTAAGAAACAAGGGTGAAAAGGGTATGAACACAGCTTCTTGGTTACCACAGATTCTGAATCTTTTTTATTATCTATCCAATTAGAATCATAGAATCAGAGAAATGCTTAAGGTCGGAAGGGACCTCTAGAGTCCAACCCCCCTGCACACGCAGGGTCACCTAGAACACGTGGCACAGGACTGTGTCCAAGCGGGTTTGAAGATCTCCAGAGAAGGAGACTCCACAACCTCTC